AATGCGTCTGTCGGATTCGAAAAACTTGTTAATTTGGTAATAAAAGTTTTAATTTGATGAGTATATACAGATTAATCAAACTGGCAAAGTGGTAAATAAAATATTAATAATTTATCACAGTGTAGGGTATCGTTAGATAGGTTTTTTCAAAAATACTGAGAGTATGGAAAGACCGTTTTTCGATTTAGTTAACTTATTAAGCTTTAACCGTTCATAACTTGACCTTCATTTTTATTAATGAATATGTTAATATTCTTGTTAAACGGTATGTTTTTATTATTTATATATTTATTATAAAACATTTTCGTAGCTTTCACTTTTTGACTTGTCTAAATTCAAATTATAATTTAATCAAAGCAAACGCTAAGAAAATAAAAAAACGATACCTAATATTAAAACCTTAATAATGTTCAAACTTTATGATCCAATTTCGACAATTTGGCTATTAATGAAATCGTTTTTAAGAACTTTATAAGAAGACATCAAAGAATTCTAAAAACAAATTGATGACATAAAAACTGCTTTACAACGTATAAATTTAATAGTTTCTGAAAATCATGGTACACTCTACTTACCAACAGCTTAATGACAGCATGCCTATTTTTAATTATGTGTAAACATTCAGTCATATATTTTTTTTATTTTACTACTTAACTAACTATACCTATTCTCAATATGATTAGACACATTTTTAACGTATGCATACTTTATCGACGATTAGGGTCTTAGAAAAATAATCTGAAATCTTTATATTGCTAAAAATATAGTTTTTATTTTAGATCAAGTCATATCCATGGCCAAAATATTGAGCGAAACCGGTATAAGCGTAACAAATTCATTGCAAAAAAATAGGCACGAATACTTCTTACAACATCTAGTTGTGATTGCCGACTTATCGTGTCCTGGGGCGGACGGCTTTCTAGTGAAAGTAAGATTTTTTTGGATTATTAAAACAATTTTTGAAATTGATATGACCATATTAGAACCAGTCTTGGAGTTTATTTTTTATATTGCCGCAAGATTAACTTTCTGCAAATCTTAATTACCTTGTCTAGAGAGTTCGATTGAAATAAATAATGATTAAATCTATATTTTATTAAAAATATAGATATTTACGATGTATTAAATGAAATTGTGACTTTTTAAAAGTACAGCCAGTACATTAGGTAACGACAAAATGTTTCTTCGATCGATATTGAAATCCACTAGCACTCAAATGGAGAAAATTAATAGAAGAATATAAGCTGCTTTCAACAGTACCTACAGTATTAAGTTACAAAATTACGAATTCTTCTTATAGATATAAAATACGGTGGCGCCAATTCTAAATGCGGTTTCGATATTTTTCTATATTGTCTCGGGTCTGGGTGTTGTGGTACTGTAACGTCCGTGCACATCACTATAGGTAGGTTTACACTCCAGACGATTTATGGTCGATGCTGGCCGCTAATATTCTAAAGTGTAACTTTTTCCGTGTTCTAATTTGCGTGTTCGTGTTTTGCTGGTTGATAATCTGATAATCTTTTTTGACTGGCATAGAGTCAGTAACTTAGAATTCAGTTATAAGTGATTTGATGTATATTTTTCTAAAAAATAAAATCGAGAGTTAGAAGAATTGCACAAGGATTTTATTGAACAACCCACCATTAGATGGTGAAGTCGCAACGTTTCGAAACAAAACGATAGCTCTCGTAATCCAAGCGAAAACACAGGTAAACGACAAAACGAGAAAACGAAAAGTCGAGGAAGCGAGAAAGCTTTCCTGACAAAAGTACCTTCGATATTTCAAATGCCCTTTTTTTCAGTTTTTCAGTGGTATGAGTTTTGACAACTCATTATATGTGATGTTGTCTAATATTTATTTATTTATTTAAGTGAAATAAATACTTTTTTGTTTGAACTCATTATTTACATTTTTTCTTATTTTCATTAAAAGGCTAACAAAGACGGTTATTTCAAATCACCTTACCGCTGGCTTATTCTTCAATCACAAAACAGTAACAATGAAACTAGAGCTTTAAATGAAATTGAAATGTTGGTCGACAGTGATGTTATTCTGGTCAGAGAAATTGAAAATAAAACTTATGAGTTTGTCGAAGGTATGTATAATTTGGTAAGAAAGTTGAACTTTCATAGTAGCACGAAAAGAAAAACAAAGAACTCATCTGCCGCTTGACTAGGTACACTTGCCTTAATAAAAAAATGTCGTACGATTCACTCATATATCAATAAATTAAGAATAATACGTCATTCAAGTGAGTAAGATGATTCAGCGTTTGCTGTTTGCGTCAGAAAACATGATTTATCTCCTGCACATAGTTTGGAAGTAAGTATAAGTAGCAAATTAGAAAAGGATAAGAATAGTTCTTTTCTAATTTGCTACCAGTCCCAGGTCTTATAATAATATCACTATTTTTCTGTATAGCGCTATCCCACTCACTGCACAGTTTAACATTGCTTTAAGAAATTCTGGTGATCCCTTGTAGGTACTACACGACGTTATGACAGAGCAATTTTAAAATTAGTCATAAGCGGTAAACACGTCAATCCTAAATAAAAAGAAACAAACCCTAACGACATCTTTTGGAACTGAAAATTGCGCGAAAATCTCAATTCTCTCCAAGACATTTCGCTAGATGTATAGCAAAAAAATAAATAAATAGAAAATATATCATTGAAAGTTGTTAATAACATTGATCTAAATTCAAGTTTGAATTGGATGCCTAGTTTAAAGTATACAGACGTATTTTGTAACCTCCAGACAACATTCATTCTGTATTCGTAATACGCATATTGCTTACCAAGATCCAAGAAAAAATGTAGGTAATCCTAAAGTAAGTTAAATATCAGTATGTCATTACTATTCTATTGAATATACAGCGTCGCTATCGTAGTATTGGAGATTCAGTAAAATAAAATCCTTACTGCCTTTGAAGTAAGTTTTATTTTACATATCCTTAGTATCCGGTGCTTAATGACCGATACAGTTTTTTCCTATTATTCCATTATAATATACTAATCTTCTATTAAAAGAAATTGTTATACTATTAATATTTTTATGATATATAAATAAGTGTTTATAAAAATGATCGTTTTTTATCTCGTAATTTGGTAATTGACATCTCGCCCTGAACTTTAGGACATAATTTTGAGAATATTTCGGAGATATTAGAAATGTCACAGTTTAGGAGAAAACATGTAATAGTTTTATTTCATACACGCTGTTATTAGACTATTGATTTCGAAATTTTCTGATGAGTCGCTATTCTGAAAATAATAAAATTGGGGATGAAAGGACAAAATTGAGACATATGCTAATAAAAAAGCTTTAGAATTGATGCAACAGTGTTTGACTATCAGAATATTAAAACACTTTTGCATAAATTCTAAAGCTTTTTTATTTGAAAATTTAAATATTATTAAGTTATGCACATAAAATTAAACTATGACACTTATGTTGGTTTTTGTAAGTTTTGTCATTACAATTAAATTCAGTATGTATACTGTCTGCTTATATATTGTGAAGGTTTGATCAATTGAAAAACCTATCAGAGCTATTTATACTGCTGCAGAGCTTAATAGAGACATCGGAATGAAGCAAGTGCGAGCAACTGTCTAGGTGACATTAGTCAACAGTCGATTTTTTTAGAGCAGTCGTCGGGATTACGTTAGTTGTGGATTCGAGTATCATCTCGGGGTACCTCGAGCTGGCGGGTTTACGTAGTTTCAGTAAAGATAAAAATTAATTTATAAAATAAATATTACTTATCGCAAAAATACATTGAAATGAATTATTACCGTTTTATTACTATTGAAGTTTGCTTCAGACTACCATCACGACCGGCAACTTATCAACCATTGACAGAGGTCATACAAAATAATCTCTTAATCGACACGCTTGTTGCATAGGTATTTGAATGCTAATATAATGTATTTAAGAGTAATCTCATACGTAAACTAACTGTTTTCGCTGCACGGATTAAGAATTTTTAGATTATAGCCATCTATATATACATAAAGAAGGCCTGTGACCCGGAAGTGGGGCCGATAATGTTAATGAAAGTAAAGTCATTCAATGAATATAGTCACACAATACGGCGCCAAATAAAACGTTTAAGTTTGATTTTAATTAATTTTAACATATATTGTAAATTAAGTAAATATCTGACCTCTATTACGAAAATTGATCGTGTGAGTACCTCTATTACTCACACGATCAATTTTCACTAAAATAAACAAAGTGATTTATAACAAAATAATAGTATAATGAGAACAAATTTAATGGAGTAAACTTGAGAAGTAATTTTGTATCACAGTGTTTATAACAATTTATTTTATTTGAAAACGGTTATGTTGCTATAGGTGACCTCTTAAAACAACTTAATCTAACTCTATAAAATATTATTCAAACATTATAAGAATCATTCACTAGAATTCAAGAAAATCGTGTTATCTTTACCCACAGATTTATTATAGAGTTGTAAACCCATTACGATTGAATAAAGCCTTAAGTGTTAATCGAAATTATTCTAGACAACTAGTGATTTATTGATCTTAGCATCTTTCGATTTGATTATCAATAGATGGCGTTAATATTCTAATTTTATCTAAAGGTAAATAGTATAAAACAAAATCACTTCATACTGTCTGAACGATGAGTAATTTAAAACTATACAAAGGTTTTCAGATGCTGTGAATTTTTTATATTTGAATATTTCAGAACATATGTATTTTAAGTTTCCATATTTTTTTATCTTTTTTAATACTTACTTGCTCTTTAAATTTAAAGTTTGTATTTTTTGCCACAATCCACCTCTTTCCGATGATTAAAAATATGTGCGCAGTGGCGCATCACTTTAATTTTTATCTATGTTTTGTATCTCTTTCCGTTTTATCATAGATTCAAATTTAAATAAAAGTATATTGCCCTAGCGTTCATATAAAATATTCAGTTATATCTTCGAAAAGGTGAATTGTAGGAAAAAAAATAATGATGGCAAACTTTGGACTTTTAAAGAACAAACAATTGAGCTCGTTTAATTAGTCTATTAAACCAGTTCTTCGGTCAAAGATATTACTATCTAACAAAATGATTTTTTTTTTCTCCTAAAAATAATGAATCTCGGCCTCAGAGATTCAAAAGAAAAAAATACAATTTCTATATCACTTTCATTCTCAGTTTACAGGATTGCTAAGAAATCTGAATTGATCCACACAGCAAGATCAATATGGTATCCTCCCAAAGGTGATTTTGATAAATCTTCATATACTGGAGTAAAGAAAACCAATGAAACTCATTCGCCTAGGCACATAGTATCAGCCCTCGAAAATTCTGGTGTTTTAGTAGACTTCAGAAGATCTAAAGTATTGTCTTCTAGAAGAAATAATTTAAGGAGATACACGATGACGATGGTTAATGTAATAACGGATAGCAACGAAACCCGAAAGCATTTAGATGACAGACTGTAAGTAAAAATTGTTTTTGATTTATGTGAACACGGAACCTGTAAAAGTTCCGAAACAAACGCAATCAAACCGTTTAAGTTATTTCATTTAAAAAAAGATTTTTTTATGATTGATTACCTTAAGAAATATTTTTCTATTCATTTGAACTGAATATACAGCATAATTACAGCGGCCAGCGATCAAGTTTCGTAAGGGTCAGTCGCGGGGTGGGAGACCAAAAATTATTATCTCGAGCTACTCCGTGCTTCAGAAGATACGTTAAGCCGTTGGTCCCGGCTGTTTATGCAAACGTTAATACTCTCCATTCCGCATTGGAACAGCTTGGAGGGTCATGCGCCCATCCTACTTAACCATCCATAAGGGGAGCTTGAGCCTCTTCAGTGGGAACGTAAAAGTTCTGATGAAGATACAGCAAATTAAGTTTTTCTGCTGCCAAGCCGCACGTAATCGTTTTTCGCGTACTTACGGTTTCCTAATCAGAAATTCGGATTCCTGGGTCAGTTTCATTTTAATTCGGAATATCCTGAATTGTATGAACGGCGTACGTTTGGATTTTGATATCAGATTAGATGGTCAGCATTGCTATTCACTAACAAACTCAGCGTCAAATTCACGTTAAGCACAATGCAGTCAAAACATAAGGTTTAGATCAAATAAAACCTACTCCAAATGGTAATAAAGGTTTTATTTGATCGAATCTCTATGTTGTTATAACTCTGAGCTTGATGTCGAGTGCGAGGCTGATTTTATCACAGAAAAGCCAAGCATAAAACTAAACATAAGTGCGAACAGAATAAAATTAAAACCGGCCAAGTGAGTGTCGGAATAGTACACGAAGAGTTACGTACCAGAAACGATCAAACAAATCAGGAGTTGTTGTATGGGAATTAAATATGTTTAATTTTAATTTAATTATTTATTTTTAAAGTTACTATATTAATACATTTTCGGAGCCAGAGCCCCCTTAAATATTCATTTTATTCTGTTCTGGTTTTTGGTATTTGTTGTGGAAGCGGCAACAGAAATACACCATCAGTAAAAATTTCAACTATCTAACTTTTACGGTTCATGATATACAGCCTGGTGACAGACAGATAGACAGCGAAGTCTTAGTAATAGGGTTCACTTTTTACCCTTTAGGTAAGGAACCCTAAAAAGGATATAGTAACTACCTGTTTACTTATTTATATATTCGTAAGAATGTATCTAAGTATATTATAATATTATTGAGGTTCTAGGTAAACAGATTGTCAGTAGGTATGTACCGTATTATTTTAATAGTTTAAATATTTCTTATGTAAATAAGGAAGGAACCTGATATTTAGGTTGTGGTTGTATAGTTAATAGACACGATTGTCATAACTCTGGTAGCTGTTTAAAAACTTTTAGTAATTCATTGTATGCTAATATTTCAAGGTTGTTCTAAAAATTATAAATAAAATATTTATGAAGTATGGATTAGATTAAATTTAGATTCTAAACTCAAACTGCGTTTTCGAGTCCATGAATGACCAAGATTGTATTATTTAATAAAACAAGTCTTGCTAAAGTCCATTGCTTTAATTGTGAATTGGTAACTTCCACATCTAGAGAACAAATAATCAAATTTTAAAATATATAGCAATCCTTTTCAATTTGAAATTTGTAAGATATTCGCGAACTTCATGGCACAACTATACCTATAATATATGACAGCGATTGGGATCACAACATTCTTTTGATGTTAATATACCGTTAATTTGATGTTAATTGTAATTATCTAATCCAAGCGTTAGATGCAAATACATTTGAAAGCTACCTGCAATCTTTCGATGGGTTTTTATTATGTTTTTGATTATTCAAATCATCTTTCGTTCCGAAAGGGTTTACTTTGGAAGATGCACAATTGTAGGTCTATTAAGGTTTATTAATTAAATGATAGACGATCTACTTTGATAGAATTTTCTTCAATAATTTTGTTTTGAGATAAGTATTAATAATAATTTATGTGAACTTTGAAGTCGATTCTTTTTTTTTAATTTTATTTCATACTTATTAGTGATATTAGGGGTTAAAGTATGAAATTGCCGTTTTAATGCAATAGGTTCCTTGAATTGACATAGAATCTTCTTGGTTTGAGGTTTTGAAAGAAACTTTTTTCACATGGTTTCTATGAAGTTCTTCTTTTAAAAAATGTAAAACATTTGAATATCGACTTTCAATTGTTTTTGTTATTCAACTAAGACAAGAAAGATAGATACAGCGAAAATTCGAGTGATTTTTGTATACGAGTTCCGACACGGAAGTAATGCGGCAGAAACAGCCCGTAATACAATATTTAAGTCATAAAAAAATAACAACAGTATCAATTAATCAGTATATTAAACGAAGGTTATATCAATAATTTGTTATATTAATTGAAAGTTATATTACTTTTAAGTTATAATCATTGAACTTTGTGAGAAAAAACATCATATTATTTGAGTACCTAATATATAGAGTGATCGTTATATTAAAAGACAAATGAACATAATACAAATTAAGTGCTTGATGAAATTATTTAGGCGTTTTGAATATGGTTATGGATATTATACAAAATGAATATTATTTAAAACAAATGGTATTTCTTACAAATGTTCATAATAATAATAATCTTTATTCAAACCAAAACAGAACATGTTTTTATACACATATAATATAAAATTATTTAATACACTGAATCTGGCATTTTTATAATATGATCATTATATAATAATAACGCTATTGATATGAAATTAAATAAAAATGAAGCGCACCCAGTTACAATGACAAGTTGAAAATTAAACAATCATTAGGTAACGTTTTAATTCCCTATACAAACATCCATTCCTATTTTCATCCTTTTATTTGCTGTTTTTCGGATAAAATATAGCCTATATTTACGCGTATGAATAAGCCTTCCGAAGGTAAAAGAACTGTCGGTCCAATAGTTTCGGACCCTATTTGTTGCGAACAAACAAACAATCGAATCTTTCCTCTTTATAATATAAGTATCTATACAAATAAAGATATGCAACATAATGAAAGTCTTAGAAAAGAGAATGATTTTGTTTATATGCTCGATATAATTTTTTCCAATAATTCAATTGAAAGATTTCATTGCTTGTTTGTTTGCAATGGATAGGCTCCGAAACTATTGGCCCGATTTATAAAAGTCTTTTATCTACGCGAAGCTACACAATAAGCGACGAACATATATCCTCCTCCTTTTGGAAGTCGGCTAAAAAATAACCTATTCATTTATTTGTTTGAAGTTATCTCCACCAAGATTCTATAACTAAAATGTCATACAGCGTGGTCAAAATTTGTTTTGAAATGTTGAATGCCTCCGAGAAGCTTATATTCACTCACACTTGGGGCTACAAAGACAAGCAAGGAAACTGGCAGGGCATTGTAGACTATCTCGACAAAAAGGAAGCCGATTTAGGTGAGTATCGTCATTAACCTATAATTATCCCCACTGCTAGCTCACGGGCTTTCCCTATGTGCGGAATCAAATAGGGGTAAAGGACCATAATCCACCACTACACAATACAACAAAATGAGTCAATTGCACTGCGCCATCAAAGTCCTGAAGGAAATATAATGCAGAGTAAAATAAAATTATTGTGTCTCACTATTGTACCTGCAGAGAAAACAATCACAGCTAAGCAATTAATTGGCCAATAATAATGATTCATTAGCGTGACCATCTGATAATCAACACCTGACATCCAAGGGTGATTGAGATGAAACGATCTAGTGCATTATGTTTTACAACTAATTGTTAATCAAACAAGACTCGTTACAAATTTTAGTCATATGTTCTGTCATCATCGGGACTGATAGGTTTAGTCTGCGCAAACGATCATTCACGACACGACATATAAGTTGGAAATACGTTTTATTTCATTAAACTACTATTCTGTGATAGTGCTGTATTCGAAGAAAACGCTGAATAATATCATTGCGGCAATAATTATTAATAGTTTTGGTTACTAGTTTATACATACTTTTTACATCTACAGGAACTCTTACCATTTTCACCCAAGAGCGCATGGAAGTAATCGATTATATCGCCATGGTGGGATCCACTGCTGTCAGGTTCGTGTTCCGAGAACCGCCACTCTCTTACATCTCCAACATCTTCACTCAGCCCTTCACCAGAGCTGTCTGGTTAGCAATCGTCGTCTGCGTCCTTGGTTGTTCCGTATTTCTTTACATAACTTCGAAATGGGAAGCGAGCATAAGTATGGTAAGTATAGGTGATGACCAGGTTATTAATTTCCCCATTGCTGGGGCATAAGTTTTCTTTATAGATATATTCGCTTAGGAAGAGCGGACTCTCACCCAGTATGTATGGATCGGACCCTAATCTATTGCGGATGGGTGAATGACTAATGGGTTTTAATAACAGCAAATGCAACCAAGATAACCAACTTTCGTTTTTTTTCGAAGCACTGAAAAGCTTGAGATAAGTTTTGATCCTCCGCAACTAAAGGCAAAACGCGCTAATCAATTTGTCGATTGTATCTTAACAAATTATTTAGTTATTTCAAATCTTAGTTATAAAATTATTATTAATAGTAATTGTTTATCTCAGCATCAGTTTCAACTGAATGGATCTTGGGCAGATATCATTATCCTGATAATTGGTGCAGTACTTCAACAGGGGTGTACTTTAGAACCGAGATATACTGCAGGTGAGCATAATTCCTTTTAATTGATTAATTAGAATTCTTTAATCCAATTTCTCAATAAATTTGATAAGAGGTACAATTTTACATTTCCTACACATATCTTTTTGCTCCGCAGCTGGTAACAATTATTGTTTTAATTTATTAGTTAATCATTTAACCAAAGCCTCAATTTATATTTGAACTTTCTCATGACTCTGATTTCTGTTGCTTTTTATCAATTGAATAACCTCCTGGATCTACTAAAAAGATAGTGTATGAAACAATAACGTACACTCTAAAACAATGACACTATTGCAAAGATAACATTAAAAACTTACAAAAGAATGAAAGAATGTTTATCATGCCTTACATTGCCTAGTCATCATCATCATCAGCCCTTTTGCGTTTTCACTGCAGGAGCACAGACTTTCCTTATGGATGGTTAAGGAGGATGAGTCATAACCCTCCGCGCTGGCCTAATGCGGATTGATGGGTATTAACGACTTCAAATGCAGCCGGGACCAATGGCTAAGTAGTAGCTCGACATAATAATTTTTTGGTCACACATCCCATGACTGACCTTTACAAATCATATAATTTATTAATTGCAATAAAATATGGTTTACAAAAAGATATCTAGGAATATAAGTATCTCATATTTTACTTTTAAACTGCATGCAATATCTTATAATAAACTATTTGTATGTTCTTAATTTATTAACTATTTATTGTACCTATATCATTGAATGTAATATCCGGTGTGTTATTAAATATCTTATTTGATATCAATTATAAGTTTCTCTTATAATAGTCGCTTTTATTAAATGGCAGATCTAATTTATTAGAATATCTTGTGATAAAATTACAATTATCTTTTTTGTTACATACAGATCTAAGTTTGATTTTAGAAAAACACATATCTCGTGAATATACAA